AGATGGCCAAACTTCGTCTCTCATACTTTGGACGTATTGTCAGGAGGGAATAGTCGTTGGTGAAGGATATCGTGCTTGGTAAGATGGAGGGTCAGAGAAAAAGTGGAAGACCCCCAACAAGATAGATTGGCCAGGTGGCAGCATTGATGAACTCAAGTGTGGCAGCGGTAGTGAGGTTGGCCCAGGATCGGGCATTGTTTCGTTCGCTATGAGTTGGTTCCGACTCGATGGCACCTAACAACAACAACAACGTATTTGCCAATATGTACTAGAAAATGCTGTATAGCACAGTGAACACAGCAAAAGATTAAAATAGTGACCTGAAGGATAGAGTGGAGGAAGATTCCTAGGACACAGAATAAAAAGACAGAAAAACGTACAAAGTAAGTGTAAAGTTAAAAAGTCATGGGAGATAAGACTAGGAATTTTTGGATGAAAATAGAAGTCATGTAATGAAGATACTAATATAATTTTAATATGTTTCCCTGAACTTTATTATTTTTTTTTGCAGATTTATGCATTTATTTGATCATAAACTGTTAGTTTTCATCCACATTGACTGTAGGTTTTTGAAGGTGGTGACAGTCACATAGGTCACATAGGTCACCAGTGTATAGAGTTTGTTTGCTGAATCTTCATCCTCAATTACGTTTTCTGGACAACCACACCCGGATCCGGTACGGGACATTCCTGATTCCTTTGGCCCAGACAACAGCTTTGTTGAGCCTGGTGTCAATGCGCACGTCTGGTGGTCCCAGCTCCTTCATGGCAAATTTCCGAATCTCCTTGAGTGCTCGAGGGGCACGCTTCTTGAAGCCTACTCCATGGATGCGCTTGTGAATGTTGATGGTGTACTCTCTGGTCACCACTTTGTTGATAGCAGAACCACCCTTCTTTGCAGGAGCCATAGCGATAGAATCAGGTTGGAAAGGAAGAGCGCAAAGGATTGTGGGAAAAGGAAAGCCACGGCTGTGCGTACTTCCCTGAACTTTAGAGAAATCCAGATAAGGTTGAAATTATCTATCAAGAAAAAAAAATAATGCAATAGATACATCCTGGAAGAAGTTTAAAAACTAAGCTTGTTTTAAATAAATAATACTTTCCCATGGTTCAAAGCAAAACACAAAACCTATAATAAGAGAAACAGTGACAAGACCCCAGGTTTGTTCCCCATTTGTAGTTCTCCCTAATTCCTCCCAAAGAATTAACTACTTCTGTTAATGTTTGGGGAGTCCTGGCATGGTGCTGTAGAATAAGCATTGGACTGTTAATCACAAGGCCTAAGGTTAAAACCCACCAGCTGCTCCTTGGAAACCCTATTATACAGGGTCACTATGAATCAGAACTGACTTGATAGCGCTTCAGCCACAACACCAATTAACGTTTGAAGTCCTAGTGCAGCACTGTAGGATAGAACTGGATTGCTAACCATAAAATTGGTGGTTCAGACCCACCAGCTGCTTCATGGAAACGCTATTCAGGGTTGCTGTGAGTCAGAACTGACTGTTAACAACAACATTAATGTTTTATGGATCTTTCCAGAGTATAGCTGTATTTACCAGACCATGAATAAAAATAAAGCTCTACCTTTACTTTACTACATATCTTTTTTAAAAAAACAAAACAAAACATTGGTAAATGGTAGTATACAAGTATGTCTTGCTTTTTTCCTTCTTTGCTATCTATATGGCCAGCTTTTCATATTAGCCCATAAAGAGGCGCTTTATGTTTCTTTTAATTATTATAGCTGCATAGTATTCTATTGTATTGATTCATCATATAGAGCACTAAATTTTAAATTCTATTAGGTCAACTCTTTTTTTTTTTTTTTTTCAGTTTTCTGCCACATTAATTTGCTTCATTTTAGTTATTTCTTTGCTGTCTATTATCCTGTAGTTTATATTGGGCTTTTACTACCTTTCTTAATTAGGTATTTAAATAATTTTTTTAAATTATTGCTTTATCTTAAGACTATGTATTTTTTTTTTCCCTAAGTACTACTTTAACTGTGCTCTGAAATTCTGACATGTTTTCTTATCATTATAAAATGACTGTTGTTATTTTAAGCGAGCGTGGTGGGTCCATAAGATAAGCACTGGACTACACACCTTGGTTTGAGCTCCACCAGCCGCTCCATGGGAAAAAGATGAAGCTTTCTGCTCCCACAAAAGTTTAAAGCCTAGGAAACCCTGTACAGGGTCTCTGGGAGTTGGAATTGACTTGATAGCACTTAACAACAAATTACTATTTTAATTTGCATTTCTTCTTTGATCTAATAATTTTCATATTTGTACATATAAGGGACTTTTTATTTCCTGAGCTTTTTATTATTTTCTTATGCAATTGCCTTTTGATCATAAACTATAGTCTTTACTATTTCTAACTTTTATAACTTACAAAGTTTTATTAGTGGTCTAATTATGGTTGCTGTTGTTGTTAGGTGCCATTGAGTTTGCATGGACTCATAGTGACCCTGTGCACAACCGAACAAAACACTGCCTGGTCCCACACCAACCTCAAAATCGTTGCTAAGCCTGAGCCCATCTCTGCCGCCTCTCCACTCTACCAAACATGATGTCCTTCTCCAGGGACTGGTCCCTCCTGATATATCCGAAGTATGCGAGATGAAGTCTGGCCATCCTGGCTGCCAAAGAACATTCTGGCTGCACTTCTTCCAACAGAGCTCTGTTTGTTCTTTTGGCAGTCCATGGTACTTTCAATATTCAACTCTAACACCATAACTCAAATGCATCAATTCTGCTGTGGTCTTCCTTGTTCATGGTCCAAATTTCACATGCATATGAGGGTATTGAAAATACCATGGCTTGGGGTCAATGTGCATCTTCAGCCTCATAGCATCTTTGCTCTTGAACACTTTAAATAACTCTTTGTGGAGCAGATTTGCCCAGTGCAAGTCGTTT